TGGTGGGAGGGTGCTATCTGGTGTGTCCCCAGGACGCACACACCCTGTGTGCATGTCTGTCTCTTGACTGGAGGCACAAGAATGAGGGAGGCCTCATATCTTGTTTGTTTGGTTTTTTTGTTTTGGTACTGGGATGCACTCAGTACCTTTGGCTTTCCAGGCAGGCTCGGTGCCACTGAGCTAAACCCTTATCTTGTTTTTTTTAATTACAGTACCGAGGATTTACTTTGAGATAGGGCTGCACTAAGTCCCTGAGCGGCCCAGACTGGCACTCTTCCTGCCTCAGCCTCCTAAACCACTGGGATTAAAGGTGTGTGCCACCTGCCTAACTCCCTTCACAATTCTTGAGGGCAGATGAGAGCAGAATCCCACTGTGGTGCTGTGCCCCAAAGCTCCTTCCTGCTCCCTTGACTCTTGAATGTGCTCAAGGGTTCCTCCCAGCAATCTGCACCGGGCTGGGTCTGCAGGCCTTGAGTCTGGTCACCACCTGGTCATGGGGCCCTAATTTACCACAGAAACGTATGTGAAAATTCAAACCTGGAAAATTAAACTTGCCTAAGCATCCGGCTTACTTATTGGAAACCACAAACCATGCTTCCCAGCTGTACCTTACAAAGCCTTGGGAGACAAGAACAGGCACAGAAACTCAGTTTGACCAGATGTATCCATTAAAGGGGATGATGAGCTTGAGCAAGTGACACCCATCAGAGCGGGTGCTTGGAGCACCACCGATCACACTCCAGGCGGGTTCCCAGAGCCTAGGCCAGCACTATCACAGCACTAAAGAGTTTCTAAGAAAGACGTAAAAGCAGAGCTTGGTGTGGTGGTACACACCTATTATCCCAGAATCCAGGGAAGCTGAGGCAGGAGGATCTCCAAGTTCAAGCCCAGTCTGGGTAACTTTGCAAGACCTCACATCAAGATAAAAACTAAACAATGTACTGGTACAAATTCCCTACGATTGGGCCAGGGATTTAGCTCAGTGGTTCTGGTGTCTGCCTTGCAAGCACAAGGACCCGAGTTCGATCCCCAGTACCAAAAACAAAAAAACCAAATTCCCTATGATGAATGTCATCATTATGCATAACTAAAATGCACCAATAAATGTTTTGCTAAAAAAAGAAAAAAAAAAACTAAACAAAAAGGGAAAGGGTTGTAGCTCAATATGAAGGCCCTGGGTTCAATCTTTAATACCAAACACACACACACGCTCACCCAAATGAGCTCTTTCACAAAGTCAACAGGCAGTCACAGACCTGTACCTGTACTGGCCACTGCTGCCCTGCCGGCCTGTGACCTGTCTACTTCAGCAACATGCTCTGTTGTGACAATAGCATCTTCCCCTTCTGTGGCCACCATGAGGGAGTCACTGGCACACACTCGCTGAGGACCTGACTGCCACCTGTCTCCCAGCTGTGTCCTCAGGACTCTCGCAGGTTCCTCCCATGGCCAATGCTGGGACCTAAGACGGCTGTCCTCTGGGAGTGCTCTGATGGCAAAGTTGCCTATGCCAATTAAAACCTTCCCTGAAAAAGCAGCAGCATGCCACTCTCTGGGCTGTGCCCATGACACATTACAGGGCTGTGCTGACACTAGTCTTCCAGGGCTGGAATATGGGGGCAGAGGTCCCTGCAGGGCCATTGCAAGGTCCGTGCATGAAAATGATCTCAGCCATGAGTGTCCCACTGGAACACACTGCTTTATATGCACTCTTGACTTGCTCATGGCATGTTCGTGGGTGTGGGCCACATAGCACCTCCAACCTGATAAATGCCAGGCTTATAATACTACTGCAGGCCCCACTCACCTCCTGGTGTGCTCACCCCGTGGGGTCTCTTCCCCTCAAATCTCCACAGGGGCCACGGGTGCCACTTCTATTAAAGAGAATTCAGCAAAGTAATGGGACCCAGTCCTGGGTTATGTTGTACAGCCTGTGACTTTCTTCCTGTCACTTGCTCCCCCTCGGCTGCCTTTGAGAGGTCCCAAGAAGAGGAAATCTGGTCTTCAGGCAACAGCTGTGGGAAGGAGCCTAGACAGGTAAGCTGCCCATGGAGACCTCAGGTGAGGCACCCAGCCAGTATCCCAGGGCTCTACTCACCGGGGCTGCTATAGGGTGACCCATAGTGACTGTGAGGTGACCTGCCTAGACAGGTCTGGGTTCCTGTCTCAGGCTGTAGGGTAACCCACCTGACCAGACCTGGGTCCTGAACCTACAGAGACTGCAGGGTGACCTGCCAGACCAGACCTGGGTCCCTGACCAACGAACATGTAGGGTGACAGTTGGTGCTGGCTTGGGGTACCAAGCCTTGGGGTGACTTATTCCACTGCAACATGTATACAACCACTGCACACTATCACACCTTTAAAATCCACAAATAGAAAAATGAAGAGCCTAATCAAATCTGAACATATACTCAGTATTTCTAGTCTTCCAAAAGTTCACAAAGCAAATGAAGTTTTAAAAACAGTAAAGGATATAAAAAAGAAAGAAAGAAAGAAAGAAAGGAAGGAAAGAAAAGAAAAGAAAAGAAAAGAAAAATCAGAGGTAAGCACTGGCACAAAAGTCCAAGTGTGGCTACATCTGGAAATACAAGTTCCTAGGCTGGCCCGTTCAAGGGCACCATTCAGTTGACAGTACTATGGAATCTAAAAGTGGTTTCTCGATGGGCATTGTGACACATGCCTGTAATCCCACCACTTCTGAGGCTGAGGCAGGAGGATTGCTGCGAGTTCAAGGCCAGCCTGGGCTACACTGTGAGTTCAAGGCCAGTCTGGACTACATAGAGTAACCCTGTCTCAAAAAACAAAACAAAAAATAAAGTGATTTTTCTTGAGGAACCAAGAAGTGAAACCCAGAACCAGCCAGTTCAAGAATCCTTCTTGAGGCCGGGTATTTAGCTCAGTGGTTCCTCTGCCTGCCTCGTAAGGCAAGGACCTGAGTTCAATCTCCAGTACCAAAAAAAAAAAGAATCCCTCTTGGAAGTCCAGAGAGCTTAGAGCTTCAGACTCAGGCTTTATCCTGTTGCTAACTCCCAACGAGCCCTCCATAAGCCCAGTGCGTGCCCTTTACCCCTCTGCTTAGCGTCCACTATCTATCAACAGACACTCCTCGATGACCAGAGGCCACTCTGGGCACTGGGTTGGGCAAGGCCCTGTCCTGTCGGTTCTGTTTTCTGGCCACACATCCCACAAGGTCTGCCCACCCTCATCAAGAGGATCACTCTGCAACCTGTTAATACCTCATGCAGCATCAAATCTCCACCTACTTTTCTTATGATCACTTGCAAACCAAAGAAACACACAGACATATTCTAGATAAAAGGCCACTCAAGTTTTCAGCGAAACAAAGACTGTTCCCCAAGATCCACTAATGCCTTCCCTTCCTCTCTGGAGCAGAGGTGCCAACTTGCCACCCTGCTGCCCAGTGCTCTATTCTTCAGGCTCTGGGCCATCTGCCCCAGCTCAACTCATCTTCCTGCCTACTCCTGGAGACCCTGGACACTGGGTGATCCCTAAGACTGTGTGGAGGAGGAGAGAGACAGGAGGGTGAAGGTGCTGGATACTGACTGAGGCAGAGGCAGGTGAGGTCCACAGCCCAGCAGGAGGGGCACAGAGCAGGCAGGAGGCAACTTTCTGGGTCTGGGCACCATGCACCCTGAACAGGGCACCCCAGGCCCTTGAGTCCTTGCAGTTAGAAGGACAAGCCTGACTTTGCCGGGCAGTTGGCCCCAGATCCCTCCCCAGGTACCTGCTGAAGGTCTGTGGAGCTAACCCAGAAACTTATGATGTCAGGATACTCAGGGGTCTCATGAAAAGAGCGGGTTTTGAACCTGTGGGGGCTCAGGTGACCACGCTTTGACCCTGCATAGCAGGGGGTTCCAGGTGGCCAGCTGTGCAGACTCCGGGCACCTTCAGTGCACTCTTGGGGTCTAGCTGTTCAGAGCTCAGACTTGGTCTCAGAGTTCTCTAATGATCCTCCTTGACAGGACCCTGAATCAGGTGACACTCTGGGGTCCTGGTCATCTGGGATCTTGACCATGTCAGGAGCTTTCCTCATAGTATAACCTCAGAATCCCAGCCTTCCCCGGACAAAAGGCTGTCTCAGAGTCCCAAAAGTGCTGAGAGGACTGTGCCAGGGCTCCTGACCTGTTTGAGGATAACTCTGGTGTCCTGGTACTCCCCAGGGAGCTTGTCTGAGTCTCAACTTTTCCATGGCCTTGTCCCAGCCCTCCTTGGGGCTAGTCCTGGGATCCTGTCCCTTCTGTGTGACCTGTCTTGACTTGGACCCCCCTCAGTGGCCCTGGAATTCTCTGGGCCCTAACCGGTCCTCAGGTCCAGCCCTGCTCGATGACACTTCCCAAGGGTCCAAGGGCCTGAGCCTCCCCATTGACCTAACCTGAGGTCCCGGCCCTTCTCAGAGACCTGTTATAGGGTCCCAGCACTTTGTGGGTCCTGACCAGTCCCAGAGACTGACCCTCCTTGGTGAGTGGCCCTCCACAGTTCTTGCCTGGTCAGGGTCTAGCCTGTTCCGGGTTCTGTCCTTCCTAGGGTCCTGCCTGGTCCGCGGTTTTTAGCCTTCCAAAGTCCTGCCCTCGTGGGATTCAGCCAAGTCGGAGTATTCCATAATCCCACTTCACGCCTGGTAGGGGTCCTGGCTGGTCTGGGGTCCAGCCCAGTCTAGGGTCCAGGCTATTTCGGGTTCCAGCCTGGTCCGGGGTGTTGCCTGGTCCAGGGTCCTGCCTGGTCCCGGTCCAGCCTTGTTCGGGGTCCTGGCTGGTCGGGGTCCTGCCCTTGTCAGGGTCCAGCCAAGTCCAGGGTCCCCTGGTCGGGCTCCAGCTTGGCCCGGGTGCTGCCCTCCCGGGTCCTACCCTCTCGGGGTCCCGCCTCCCCGCCTGCCTGCCGAGGGGCGGCGGGCTCGCTGCCTTCCGCCGGACCGGGCCGAGGCCGCGGCCTGAGGAGCGGGTGCGCGGGCCCAGGCCGGGCGGGGCGGGCTCACTGACCTGCGTCTCGGGCGGCGGGCGAGCGGGCGCACGCGGGGTCTCGCCGGGAGGGGGAGGGGGCGCCGCTCCCTCCGGGTTCCCCCCAAGAGGAGGAGAAAAAAGCCGTCCGGAGTTTAAAACAAAGAGGCGGAAATGCCCGAGCCGAGCCGAGCGCCGGGTCGGGGGCGCCGCGCTCGGAGCATGCGCAGTGTGCGGCTCGGCTCCCACCCGGCAGCCAGGCGGGGGCGGGGCCTGGAGGGGCGGGACACGGGCGGGGCCAGAAGGCGCAGGCGCATGGGGCCAAAGAGAGGGAGCGGGCGGGGCGCGACGGGGGCGTGCCGGGGCGTGGTCACACCTGCGTGGGCGGGGACGTGAGGGCGTGGTCTGGGACGAGGCGGGGACCGGCGGGTAGGGCGTGGTCAGCGGGGACCCGCTCCGCAGGCGACGGCCGGCTTGCAGGAACCGGTCCCGAAACTAGGGGGCGCTCGCCTTGGGCCGGGCGCTGGACCCGGTGAGGTTCCTCAGGGGAGTGCGTCAGATTCTTGCAGCCTCCCCGTCCTGGAAACTAGGCAGGTGTGCTGGGCGCCGTGGGCAGACAGGTGCAGCTCCACCCTCCATCTGTGAGCCCAGACTGGAACCTCCAAGCCGAGTGGGGGGCAACAAGGAAAACTACGTAGTGTCCTTGGGGACAGTGGTGTGGATGGGTCTCCACAGGGGCAGGGCCAAGGTGGATTCACTGGCACCGCGGGACAGCAAGGTGAGGCCCAGAACCCAGATCCCCCCGGGGGCACCCTGGGTGTCCTTTAGTTGTCAGGATACCTCTGTGAAGTTCCTAAGCTAGTAACACCTGGAAAGGATGGGCGGCCAAAGTGACCCAGAGGTGCCCAGGGGAAGTCTGGAGTCCAGGAGCAGCCAGCCTTGGGCAGGGTACCCCAGGCCTGAGCCATGCCCTGGGGACAGGGGAATGAGAACAGCTGTGGGCCCTCCAGAGGCCTTGGCCAGAAGGTGGGTTCACAGTGGGGAGGGGGGCAAAAAGTGCAGATGTGCAAGAGATGTTTGAAAGCATGAGGGTGCCAGGCGAGGCAGTGAGTCAAGGCTCTGTTGCAGGGAGCTGAGGCTGAGAGGCTGCTGTCTTTGGGGTCGGAACTCTGAGGGTGATGCTGATGGGGGTCCAGTGGAGGGAGACTGAGGAGGACAAAAGGCCTGGCAAGAGGGCCCTGGGGCAAGAGGGCACCTACCCTCCATGGGAGCCCAGCAGCCCTTTCAGACTGTAGGAGGGAGACTTGTTAGTGCTGGGACAGCAAGAGGTACAGATGAGCAGCCCAGGCCTGAGCGCAGAGTGACCTTGGCTTGGTGGATGGAGGCCACTTGTGTGCACATGGGCTCTGTGGACAGCATGTGAGACTATGTCCAGAATTCACTGCAGGCCCAGGGTCCCTCCAGGAGGAGGATGCAGACCCAGCATTTGGGCTGCCAGCTGCTCCTCCCAGCGACCTCATCTGTCAGCAGCACCCCAGACCTCAATCCTGAGCTCAGTACCTTCATCCAGCCATCTTTCTGCTGGGATGTCCTCAGAGAAATTCCACTCCACATAACAACTCCTGGCTTTTTTTGCTGGAGACTGTTACCCGCCCATGGCCCCCACCTGCCAGGACTAAGGATGGGACTCTGGGGTCCTCCTCCTGCTCTCCTGCCCTTGCACCACAGTGGCCAGGAACCGACACATCAGAGCTAAGCCACATGGCCCCCAAAGCTATTTTCAGCCATGAAATAGTGACTCCTATAAAAGCTTAACTTTAAAAAAAAAAAAAAAAAAGCTTAACTTTAACCCTGCCCCTCTGACTGCAGCTGGCTCCTTGCCCCAGGGCCTCTCCTCTCCCTGACATACCCAGGACTGCACCTCCAGGCTGTGGCTGAGCTGCTCCCCGCACCGCAGCGTGCACCTCAGTGCCCTCTGGGCTGCTCAAATATCTCCTGGCCACAGGGCCTTTCCACTGATGTGCCTGGCAAAAACCCAGTCCTGGACCCTTGCCACACTGGTGAGACTGTCAGGAGACAGGACTCTGGGAGTTGCTGCTGGGAGCAGAGGGAGTTGAGCAGTATCCAGCAAGCGACATGGCATTTATGCTTAGGCCCAGCAGTAGTCTCCCAGCAGGATGTGTCCCAAAGGTGCACTGGCATTTGGCTCAGTGGTTCCGCCGCCTGCCTCACAAGCCAAGGACCCGAGTTTGATCCCTGGTACCAAAAAAGCCCAAAAAAACCCCAAAGGTGCACTGGCAAAAATACAGAAAAGATGCGGGCACAAAGCCATTAACTGCAGCATGATTTATAATAGACAAAACTGAACCTATCTATCTGACCCCTAGGTGTGATCGGTTGGATAAGCAAGGAAACCCCCACATCTGAGCACCTACACTTGGAAGAGGACACTGTTCAGAGTGACCTTTGGCACCGAGTGCAGGACAGTCCAGAAGTGGGTTGGGTGAGGTGTTGCCAGGTGGAGGACTATTGAATGTGCTGTGCATTTGCCTATGTTGGAAATCCTGTGGATTTGGAGAAGATGGTGGCAGAAGCAAGAATTTTGAATCCCCTCGAGTCCTCCCATAAAACTCAGAGCAGCAAGCAGAAAAACGAAGCTCAAGGGCATCCTCACGAGCAGGTGGAGGCCAAGTCCCAGCCTCACCGCACAGTTAGCACATGTGTGCAAGGCCCTCATCACCCTGTCACAGTTTTTTTTTTTTTTGGTACCAGGGATCAAGCTCAGGTCCTTTGGCTTGCAAGGCAGGCGGCAGAACCGCTAAGCTAAATCCCCAGCCCCTGTTACAGTTTTGATCTGAAATGTCCCCCAAATTTGGGAATTTGTACCCGTAAGAAATAAAAAAGAAAATGTCCCCCCAAAGTCTCAGGTGTTCCAAAGTGAGTTTTTTGGAAGGTGTTTGGATCACGGGGCCACTGTATTGGTCAGGGTCAGGGGCGACTAAATGTGCTGTGGAGGGAGGGGCCTGGTCAGAGGAGGTGGCCCACTCAGGGTGTGACCTTGTCCCTGCCCTCCCCCGCTTTCTGGCTGTGATGGGTTGAGAAACTGCAGTTTCTGCCTTAGAATCAACAACCATGGACTGGGACCTCTGAAACCTCTCCGGTACATTATGGGTGTCAGGTATTTTGTCCCAGTGATAAGAGAGCTGACAGGGCCCGGGATTTAGTGCGGTTCCAGGGCCTGCCTTGCAAGCGTAAGGTCCTGAGTTCAATCCCCGGTACCCCCCCCCAAAAAAAAAGAAAGAAAGAAAGCTGACTAATACACCCTTTCTTCCTAAGCAACTGAGACACTAGACAAAATAGATGAAATTATAATTTTCAGACACTGGACATCAGGTGGTAAAGGCCTGAGAGAGGGATGAGGCAGGGCACTACGGGTGGTACAGCTGGAGCCATAGGGCAGGGGACTGGAGAGGAGGGGCCTCCCAGATGAGAGCTCTGGAGACCCAAAGAGAGTCCCAATCCCTCAGCAGAGGTCTGCTGAACCTGCGTAGAAACTGCCCTGGCTGGGAAGAAACGCCCACATGGAGGGCACACACAATCTGGAGAGCCAGAGTGAGGGGTCCCTATATGTCCACTGGCCCAGGAAGCCCTCATGGCCCACAGGCAGCCAGCATGCTTCCAGCAGTGGACAGCAAGCTAGACTGCTCTGTCCAGCTTGATACAGTCAGGAGGGCTGGAAGGGATCCAAGTATTTCCAGATAACGTAGCTTTGTCTAGAACCACAGAGGAGGGTCTGCTGAAAGGCAGACAGCATGTGCAGGGAGGTAGGCAATGCTGCCTCTGGTCAGGAAGAGGAGCGTAGCCTGTAGGGAGAGGCTGGTCACGGAGAAACAGTGGGGCCAAGCTAACACAATGTTATCTGTTATGGACCACGTGCTGGGCCCTCCAGGGCTGGGAGGACCAGAAAATGGGTGGAAAGATAGATGCCTCGCCTGGGAAAGCTTGCCAGCAAGACAGGTGCGAGCCATCACAAGAATAGGAGTAGCAGTAGAACAAAACTCATCTGCAGGGGCAAATACAAATGTGCAATGCACTTTAAAAACCCAGTAAGATGGCATTGTCAGACTTGGAGGAACCAGCTCCTCAAGGAAAACAGAGGTCGCACCCATCAGCGACACCAGCATCACTAGAAACGTGGTCTGGCTCTGTGTGCCCCTGATGGAAGGACCACACCACCAGCACCCTCAGGGGAAGTCTTGCCAGAAACTCAGCCTGATCCAGGTGTGCAGAGGCTCTGCACCCCACTCACCCTGGCATCCCTGGGAGCTGGGAGTGCCTCTGACTGCATCCTGCCACACCTTCTCTGGCAAAGTAGAGACTCCCAGCAGGAGCAGCGGATCTGCACTGCCTTTCCCTCTTGCCCTCCTCCCCCTTTCTCACCTCAGACCTTCTCCCAAAGAAAGTTCTGATTTTAGTACTAACTGTATGCTCTGGGCTCTGTCCTGCAGACCCTGACTCTGGGGTTCACATCTATCCGTGGGAAATGCAAGACGCGGGGACAGGCATTCTGGGTTGCAGGCAGAAACCCAGGGCAATGGACTGTTTTTGCCACAGGCCACTCAAAAGGGAATGAAGGTATGCAAGGGAAATAATGGGTTGCAAAGGGAGGGGAGGGAGGGTGGTGCCTTCCTTAGGGTCTGACTAACCCGACAAAGTGCATCCCTCAACAATCAGGGATTTTAGCCAGCGAGGTGGTGCCTCCCTGGAGTCCCAGCACCTGGGAAGCTGAGGTGGAAGGATTGTTCAAGGTTAGCCAGGGCTGCAGAGTGAGTTCAAGGCCAGTCTGGACTACATAATGAGACCCTGTTTTAGCCCCTCCAAAGACCTAGGCTTTTTTTTTTTTTTTTTGGTACGGGGGATCCAACTTGGGTCCTTGTGTTT